TTTGTTCAGAGGTGTTGGATGTTAATTCTATAATAAGTTTTTTTACAGTATTAGAATCTTTTTTATCGCCTTTTTCTGAAGGTTCTGGCATATTACACCTATTACAAATCTTTAAATTAGCATTACGCAAGTCAATCTGATGCCTCTGATGTTAGAACGAGACAAGAATGGAAATTACGCTAGCGATTTACAGATCTGATTCTACGGACACTATAGCATCATCCATTCTATATAATAAAATTCTATTATGGGTCATTGTTAGATTTTATAGATATGAATTGAGGTTAAAAATGATATATAGTTATGTAAAAAACAAGTGCGATCTCTATACTAATTAATTTGTGAATGAACAGATCGCCAAGCCCAAAATTGTTTTTTTAAAATCTGCAAATTAGGTTTGTTAGTCATGAAGAATAAACTATAAAAATAAGCAAACTATAAGGGATTTCGTTATATAAAACTTATCTGGTTATAATTGAAATATGTCTATTACTTCTACTTCTGCACCATCTACTCCCATTAATAACATCAAAAATCTTGCATATAGTATTTTAAAAACTCTAAAGGATAGCATTGTTAAGAGTAAAAAAATTCCAAATCTAAGTAATTGTTCAGAATGTGAGAAAGAAATTATTTTGTATCCTCTTAAGGCATTTACAATACTATCTTGTGAACATGTGTTTCATAGATTTTGTATTGAAAAAAACTTTTATTTACAATTCCAAATACGTGTCCATTTTCTGGTTGTAGTGAGGAGGTTGAAATTATTAAAACGGGGCATAGAAGGGATTCTGAATCAAGTACATCATCAGTAGTTAGAAGGATGAAAAAACATAGTATCCAATCTCAAGATTTGCCAGAAATTATAGAAGAAGATATATCAGATATAGATGATAATGGAAACGGTAAAGATAATCGTCCAATAGACCAAAGCACTATCCCTTCAGAAAAAGAATCCCGCAAAAGACCTAGCGAAGATACCACTAAAAATAAATCATTCAGTAAAAAACCAAAACAGAATAAGAAAAAGGCGATAAAAAAGATTCTAATACTGTAAAAAAACTTATTATAGAATTAACATCCAACACCTCTGAACAA